GGATCAAATACGTGACGCAAGACTTGTCCATATCCCCCGCGTACGAAGCTCGCTTCTGGAACCCACCCGCAGCCGAAAAGTACGAGTTCAAACACCCGAGGCCGCAGAAGCCTAAGAGCGCTCGCGTCTACGAAGCACATGTTGGAATTTCCTCTCCTGAGCTGAGAGTTGCGACCTACAAAGAGTTTACCCACAACATGCTGCCTAGAATCAAGAGCCTTGGGTATAACGTCATTCAGCTCATGGCGGTCATGGAGCATGCGTACTATGCCAGCTTTGGTTACCAAATCAACAACTTCTTTGCTGCGAGTAGCCGATATGGACCACCCGAGGACTTGAAGGAGCTGGTCGATACTGCTCATAGCATGGGCATCGTCGTGCTTCTTGACGTCGTCCACAGTCACGCCTCCAAGAACGTGTTGGACGGACTGAACGAATTTGATGGAACAGATCACCAGTACTTCCATGAAGGTGGCCGCGGTCGTCATGAGCTGTGGGATAGTAGGCTGTTCAACTACGGTCACCACGAGGTCATGCGCTTCCTTCTCAGTAACTTGAGATTTTGGATGGATGAGTACCACTTTGATGGTTTCCGTTTTGATGGAGTGACCAGCATGCTGTATCTACACCATGGTATTGGCACGTAAGTACTTTGAAGCATTCGGACCCTTTCCGTAGGGTGAGCGCACTGACAAGAACAGTGGATTTTCTGGGGGTTACCACGAGTACTTTGGCTCCGACGCTGATGAGGAGGCCATCGTCTACCTTATGATTGCCAACGAGATGCTCCACTCTCTTTACCCAGAAGTTATCACTGTTGCTGAAGATGTCTCTGGCATGCCTGCTCTCTGTCTTCCTCTTTCCCTTGGTGGTGTTGGCTTTGACTATCGTCTTGCCATGGCAATTCCAGATATGTGGATCAAGATTCTCAAGGAGAAGAAGGACGAGGACTGGGATATTGGCAACATCTGCTTTACCCTCACGAACAGAAGACATGGCGAAAGGACGATTGCATACTGCGAGAGTCACGACCAGGCGTAAGTCTTCTCCCTTTCCTCTCTCCAGCCAACCTGACCATTTTAGGCTTGTTGGCGACAAAACCCTGATGATGCATCTTTGTGATGCCGAGATGTACACCAACATGTCGACCCTCACCCCCTTGACGCCAACGATCGATCGTGGCATGGCCCTCCACAAAATGATCCGTCTGTTGACCCACGGTCTCGGCGGAGAAGGATACCTTAACTTTGAGGGTAACGAATTCGGGCACCCTGAGTGGCTCGACTTCCCGCGTGAAGGAAACCAGAACTCATTCTGGTACGCTCGTCGCCAGCTAAACCTGACTGATGATCACCTCCTTCGCTATAAGTTCCTCGACCACTTTGATCGTCTCATGAACACCACGGAGCAGAACTACGGTTGGCTGGCGGCGCCACAAGCATACATCTCTCTCAAGCATGAGGGAGACAAGGTCATCGTCTTTGAGAGGGCCGGCGTTGTCTTCATTTTCAATTTCCACCCCACCGAGAGCTATGCCGACTACCGAATCGGCGTTGAGGTTTCTGGAACGTACAAGGTTATTCTGAACACCGACCACAAGGATGTTGGCGGCCATGGTCGCATTGATGAAGGCACTCGCTTCTTCACCACGCCCATGGAATGGAACAACCGCAAGAACTGGACTCATGTGTACATCCCAAGCCGGACTGCTCTGGTACGTACCGTAATGAAGCGGGCTTTTGCGCAAAGACTAACGATGTTTAGGTGCTTGGTTTGGAGTCTCCTGTCACCCAAAGCTCTTAGATGTAGGGAAGTCAATGCCTCAAGGACATCGTACCGGGAAACGTTTGAAAAGAAGTTGAGATGGAAACGAAAATTAATTGAAGCTATTGTAACGAGAACCATGCAAAAGCAAATCATCTGTAGACCCAAACTAAATAGACTTATCAAGAGATTACTCAGTTATTTACCTTCTGTGTCACGGGATGCCTCACGCTTCACAGGTGACAGCTGTCACGGCGGCATGTGATTTCTAAATCATTCATGGTCTGCGTATTAAAAAACAAATGGAACTTTGCTTGGAATTCAGCTCTTTTGGTACAGTATTTACACCAAGCAGATGGTTGTCCTCGAGTCACGTCGCAAGCCCCCCAGCCCATGCCAGCTCTACTAGTTTTATACATGGGCAAACTGCCATGGTCGAATTGTGATTGTGATTCTAGAGACGAAAGGGAAAGATGGTATCGATTTAGTTCTTGGGAGGAGACTGGACCATGCCCTTGCCAGAGTAGCCCTCGGAAGAGAGACCGGTGATGGGGTCGGAATTTTGTGCCTAGGAGGCGAGGGGTCAGCCATTGATCAGCCAGACAGAGGCCGTCTGTGTCGGTGCGGAGGGTTAATACCTTGAGAAACTCGTTGGAAGCCTCCTGGTACTCCTTGGTCATGGTGTCGGGAGCAGGGCCGGCGAGCATGCGGACGGAGCCGAAGATAACGAAGGTAGCGGCGATGGAGGCCATGACACCCCAGAAGACGCGGGCACCCTCACCGGGGGCAGGGCCGGCGCGGGGACCGTGGGGGCCGAAGGCGATCCAGTAGGCTGTTGAGACAATTTGCGTTAGTTTTTTTGTGAGGCTCTCGTTGTGACGCAATGCATATGCACAGGGATATGAAGCCCGGTCACATTGGACGGTCGTGCCAATCCAATTGGCGTTGCATCCATCCGGAGCTTGACCAAGAGGTATTTATATAGATGATCCGGGCCCGTCAAAGGGCAATTGGGATGGGAGGGGGGAAGGCGGGGGATGGGAACCGAGAGCTGTTCGCGAATAGCTTCGAACCCTCTCTCGGAACATCGGACCACTTGGCGATCGACGACAAAAGAAAATGTGTGTGGAATTTTCGGGTGAAGAACGCACCGGCCTTCTTCTCCTGCAGGGTCAACTCAGCCCAGGGGCCCTTCATGCGGTCTCTCAGCGCCATCCAGAGCTCGGCCTGCTCCTGGAGAGGCATGCCCTCCCATCTCTTCTCGATGTTGGCGAGCGTAGGGTTGGAGATGGCGTGGGTGGTGGCGGCGCGGCGGATGACGGATTGCTGGGTAGCGGCGCGCAGGCCGGCGCGGGCCAGGGAAACGGTGGGGGTTCTGAACATCGTGTCGGCTTCGTTATGTGTCGTCCAAGAGAGAAAATCGAGATACCGCTGGGCTCGGAGGGGAGAGGTTGTCAATTGACGGGGGCGGTCGGGTGGAGGTTGCTCGCGGGTTCGGTGGTCGAGGAGGTGGTTGTTCCGTTCGAAAGGGAAAAGAGGGTTTTTCTGGCTACCTAAAAGTTCCGGGCAATCGTATGATTGGAATTTCGATTGCAATACGCCGGCTGCGACTGGGTGCTTGGGGCATCACGTGATGTAAAGTGATCCGTGCACGGACTGGGCTTCCAATGGGATCGATGGAATGGCCGGGGGTGCCAGCTGGGAGCTCACCTCGGTGTCTGGGCTGACAGCTTTTTTTTCTTGTGTTGGTGGTGGTGCAAGTGCAAGCTCGGTTGTCGGTCCATTCCGAATACCGCCGTCGCCGTTTGACCGGGATCTCGATGGCGTCACTTGCGAGGCTGCGACTCAACGCGATGACATTTCATTTGGATTTGGCTTGTATTTCTATTTGTTTACCATGCTGTCTATCGAAGAATGCTTTCGTTTTTACCGCAATGGCTCTCGAGTTGCTGCACTGGGCCACCATTAGACAGCGCGAATAGCATCAAGGCGTTGTTGATGCATGCCCCTGCCGGTTGACTAACTTGGGCAGCACATTTTCGCCGCCTCCGGCCAATGGCCCCAGGAGAGGTTCTGTGGTGCTCATCGATCTATCTTTTGAGATCATGCAAGACAACAGCGCAGCTTCTAGCCAAGCAACCCCCAAAACTCAGCTTCGACAGCTGACAGCCGTTTCCCCGGTGTGTTCGACCTCGAGTATGCTATGGATGAACCACGTAGTTTGTGGCGCAACTATAAGAAGTCGGTGGAATTATTGCGAGTCTGAAAATGCGCGCCAGCCCTGTTGTCGGTATGAAGTTATTCTTGTGAACCTGTATTCACTCTGCCCGATGCCTGAAGCCTCCTACGTCTAAGGAGGACGAGCAAAGCTGGGAATGCCGTAGCCCCCCAGTATCCCCTCTAAGTTTCGAAGCTATTGTAGCTCATGAGTTCTCGCGGTGTCTCTGAGATCCGAGTTGGTCTCCGCTATCGTTTGGCTTGAATTGGCTGGTCAGGAGTTTTGGGTGCTCCAGATGCGGCGGCGTGGAGTTGGTCCCGTTCGCGCTCTTCCCGCAGTCTCTGTTGCTGTTCTAGTCCGGGCTTCAGAGTGTATACGGCTGCAGCGATCACCACTGTCAGTTTCAAGCCAAGAACGAGCTTCGCGATGCGCTTGCAGGGACAGGGAACGAACATATGCCGACGCCAGCTGTTACGGCCACAACGAGTGGAAGAATGTTCTTGGTAAGACTCATGTCTAGAGCTCTGGGATTACTAGAACTTGTGACTGATGATGCGGAAAGATAGGCGGTAAGGTCGGTGTTTGGAGAGTTTCTCCAGCTTGAACCCAGTCGCAAATGTCAAGTCGAATGTGATGTAATTGAGTACCGAGATCGGTAGCCGTAGCTGCCAGCTGGAGCTCTCGGTGCCGTCCCCAAAAAAAAGTTCGGCTCCGGCCGGCCGTGCACGCATTTGAGCTAAAGTGGTTCACCCCCGTAGCCACCCGCCACCGCGCGACAGCGCGTACCCCACCAAACGCGCTCACCGACCGTCTGAACGCGTCCGACTTGAACACACATCGAAGTGCACGCTACAGCTAGTGATTCAAGGGTACCTGAATCTTAGGTAATGCACGGTTCGTTCCCGACCAAGCATCACATCCCAGGACTTCTTTTCTATTCACCCGAAATTCTCAAGCGCGTCGTTTGAGAGACCTTTGCTATACCATGTTTAGCTGTTTATGATGAACGATTCACGCCATGGCGAACTGGAAAGAACTGGGCGAGGTCCCAGACTCGGACGACGAACTGGACTTCGATAGCCAGGAATTCGAGGGAACCCATCAAGATGCCGACCTTCCCATGAAGAGACCCGATGAAGCCTTGCAGTCACCGCAAGCCCCCGGAGACAGTGTGTGGGATGTCCCCCCCTCCTCCCAAGCAAACGCAGACGCGACTTCGAAGACGAATCCCCCGACCTCGAGCCCAGAGGAAACAAGACCTCCTGTCGAAGAGCCCGCCTCTTCGCCCCTTTCCTCGGCGCAAGATGTGGACGATCTCGCGGATATTTTTGAATTAGAGGACCTGCCAGCTGCGGCCCCTCCGCCGACGAGGCATATGTACACAGTTGGCGGCCGAGACGAGTCCCCAGATCCTCTCGGGGGTGACGACAGCATATCTACGAGCTATGTCAAGATCACAGCCCCTCCGCCTGCGTTTCCCCGCGAGAACGATACTCGAAGCCTGTCACCCCCTACAGCTCTGATGGCAAGTCCAACCAGGATGCCATCTAGCTCGCTGAGGAGAGGACGAAGTCCAGCACAAACTGTTCAAAGCCTTCCCAGGAGTCAGCAGAGCCCACCATCGAGCCCGCAGCGTTCACGAACGAGCCCAGAAGATCCGCGAATGCGTCAAGAGAGTCCACGGACAAGTCCGGAAGGTCTGCCGAGAAACGGACTATCCTCTTTGAGCAGTCAACCACGGCCACCAGTCAGACAGAGAGACTCGGACACGAGCAGGGACGAACAAATTGCGAGGGAAACTGCCGCCCAGCATGCCCGCTCCTTCAGGCCGCGAAAACCGATCCAGCAACATCCATATTTGATCGAAAATGCACAATACAGCAAAGTCTTCAAATCCCACGGATTACGGCCTGTCAGGATGCCAAATGAGCCGGCCGCCAGGCGACAGAGAGCCGATGAGGATTCCCAGGAGAAGGATTTCGAAGCCAGTCAAGACAGCGTATTGGATGGACAGAACGAGACAACGGACGAGAGCCAGTCTCATGGATTGGAGGAACCGTTGAGTCACGACATCTTGCGAATGTCACTGTCGCCGTCTCCTTCTCCGCTTCGAACCTCGTCACCCAAGCATAAGGGTGGACCGAGCAGTCAACCGAGCCAGGATGGAGAAACGGATAATACCAGCTTGTCCGACAACGGAGATCTTCCCTCGATTGACGAGATTTTCCGCAAATCGACGACGGCACAGGGTAAAAAGAGAAGAAGGCTTATAGGCACAGGTGTTGTCAGGTCTCGACCGGTGAAGGAGGTGGCCACGACCGAGCAGTCGCCTCCAGGTCCGACATTTCAGACGTATGATGAGATCTACGGCGTCCTCTCTTCTTCTCCTTTACCTCCACAGCTACCGAATGCCCCCGTCGATTTAGGAGCCGGCTCTATCCCACCGTCTGGGACGGACCTTGCTCAAGTCCTCTTTGACGATGATGACGACGATGACCCCTTCCGGTCACCGTCGCCGCCGAGACAAGCTTCAGCTCCCGCAAATCATGAAGTTGCTGATATTACAATGGCCGACATTTCTGCCGCAGAGGACGATCAACCTGATTTTGGAGACTTTGCTGCTATGTCTGCACCAGAATCCGAGGATGGTGCTGGCAGTGGTCCAGAGAGCGAATCGGAAGCCCTCAGAAACGTTGGTCGAAGAATCCGAGGCGTTCTCCCGGCATCATGGCTTAGACTTGACCAACAAGCAAGCCGCCCGAAGCCCGCACAACAGCATCACCGCGAACCATCGCCTGAAATGACGCAGCGACGTGGGGTTGCCGTCCGTCGTATTGGTCGCTCGACGTCTACAACAGCGGCGTCGTTCATTTTTGATGACTCCGATGAAGAACCAACGTCGGCGTCACGGCCTGCTGGAACAGCTCTGGTCAACGTTGATGCGATGTCCCCGCAACGACGTAGACCACCGGTCATTGAGCTTGACGATGGGGACTCTTCCGCTATGGAAGATAACGGAGTTGATCAGATGGCTCCGAGCCGAAAACGCCAGATGACTCTCAAGGAGTCGTTCCGTCCAGCAAAGAGACTCAAGAAAAGCAAATCGACTTCAAATGCTCAGCCAAAGAAACGTGGAAGGCCTCCAAAAAGCGCGAGCCGATCCACCACAACACCCCGCCTGGATCCCTGGGTGACCACTCAGAAATCAGCGCCTGGTTCACCTCAAGCTATCGCCAGGGCAAAGACACCTCCGCGCTTGAGTATTCTGGATGTCATCGAGCCAGATGCGCCGCAGTTCTTGAAGGTTGCGGCGCGGGCAGCTCAGAGCAAACGCAATCTGGGAAGGTCAAGCCCAAGGAACAAGACAATTCGTCTAGCAACGAGGAAGGACAATGTCGATGCTGGGACAGTGTTGCAAAAGTGGAAAGGAAATAAAATACAGCCTCGCCAGGGGCTGCAACGCAAAAGGAGCACCCGAACTAAACCGACTGCGCGAAATCCACTCGCTCAGCTTTCGACGAATGTGTTTTCGCAGACTACGGCAGCTTCCCCTAAGAGTCAGACGGCCACTCAGCCTGCGAGAACGATACAAGACAATGACCAAGTCGCGACCCCGTCCCTTAGTGGTCGGCGGCCGCAACGGCCACTCTCGCGGCAAAGTTCATTCGCCAGCCAACATGCCACCAATAGACCAGCGCAGCTTGAAACCGATCTGGCAGAGCAGCCGGGAAGAATTGCTTTCCAAGCGAGGAAAAGGGCACTTGATGCTCTCTTTCGTCGAAGTCGTTCACAGTCGCTATCCGCCCGGAGTATGCATTTGGACTCTGTCATTGACGATGCATGCTCTGTCGTCTCAGAGCGGGTCATTGAAACCAGAGGATCCCCCGAGCCGTCGATTACTGAGAAGCATCGCCCCAAACGTTCAAGGAAAGCGGTTCCGCCCGTTCGAATCGACGTCGCCGCTGCCCAATTTCGTTATGCAAACGATCCTTTGCCCACGACTGATGTGTCCACCCCAGCAGAGGCGCCCAGGACTACGCATGCTGATAACCAACTGCTTGGCCTCGGCCCCTTTGGTACCCACTACACGCAGCATTTTGATACATTCCCACTCGATCGTGGAGTGTTCTTCCACGAGAGTACTCTCATAGGAAGCGGCAAGGTTGATTCCGCAGTTGATGAACGGTTTTCAGACAAGCTCTGGGAGTCTCGGCCTCGAGTATCGTTCCATCTGGGAGAACAGGTTCTTCGGTGGGACATCTGGACTGAGCAGGTTTCGTCGGAATTCGGCATTTTGATGGATGGAATGCTCGATCAAGTCCTGAAGCCTGTGCCTACATCAGAAGCTGGCTTCAACGCCAAAGATGCAGCGCGTTTTGTTCTGGACTACGTTCTCAAGTCAATGAGCTTCACCGACGACAATGGCGCTCTCTCTTTTGTCACACGTCTAAGCGATGTGACCCGAGCTTCCTTGTCTCGCCTGGATTCCGAGTTGTCTCTAGACTCAAGCCAACGTCTAGAGCTGACGGACGTACTTTCAAACCTGCTGCTCATCGTCTCTTCTGCAGTTCGTCTTTGCCAGAACCGTGCTTCGCTGATCTCGGAAACTTTCACGTTGGAAAACCTCCTCAGGAAAGCTGCCGAAGCACTCGTCAGCAGCCTTCTAACGTCTGGACTGAACGAGGTCACCAATCTTTATGATAACCTTCAGACGTTGAGGTATCGTGAGCGTGGTATACGCTCTGACAAGGTTGTTCCGCACGCCTGGGTAGTCTTGATGAGGGTCTTGGAAAGTCTTCGGATACCGAGGATGAATTTCTGGGACGTCACGTTCCCTCATCTTATCAAGCCGGCTATCATTCGAGGGTCAAATGCACAAGAATTCGAGTGTTTATGGAAGGACATGTTCACCCTTTTGCCGCTATGCGAATTCGATAATCTGGGCGTTCTCATTGCCGACAAGAGACATCACACCCCGGTGGAAGGTTGGAACCTTCCTCAGCAAGTCTTGAAGCGCGTCTTCCAGCTCTACCGCGACAACCCCCGTCAATCTCCAAGCTTCAATGACTATTGCCGCACGCTGGTGGCCAGATGTCACTATCTGGTGGAACAATGGGGATGGCAGAAATGCAGTGGCATCATTGGCACAATTTTCGACTTCTTCGGTTCTCAGAATCTGTCTCATTTGCGAAACGAAGAGGCATTCCGCTCTGCTCGATTTTTAGACAACCTCCACACTAGTCCATCGTTGAAGGTTGAAGCAGAGGATCGCTGCTTCCACATTTTCCTCAAATTGGTGGCGTTGGTCATCAAGAAGCTGAGGAAGAAGGACATGGTCAACGACATTCGGAACCTGGTGACTCGCACTCTTCCCAATCACGACCGACAATATTCGAAGGAACAGGACGTTCACGCACATGATTTGGCTGCTCTCAGGAACCACCACGATCTTCTTTGCACCTTGTTCTGGGCCGCGCCGCCCGATCTTCGGCCTCCTATTCACAACCTGCAGAAGCTCGTCATCCCCGCTAGCTCTCACAAGGAAGCTTGTTTGATCAACCTGCGGGCCTGGAACCAACTCGCACGATTCGTGGTACACGAGGAGTCCCCTCTGTCGTTCCTTCCCCTGGCCAACTGGCAGGCAGACGTGTTCAAGCAGTTGGTTGACCAGTACAATTCCGCCGCGGCTGATATGCAACGACAATTCTTGGCAATGCCGAAGGATGCGACAAACAGAATTAGCGAAAGTTTCATGAACGCAATCGTAGAAAAGAACAAGGCTGCTACTATGGAGATCATGCTTTTCTCTGTCAAGTCGTCTATGGACGTCGTACAATACGCAAACAGCTTGGAGCTGGCAAGACTTGCGTCAAGTACTGGTCAGTTAGAACCTGTTTATACGCAGAAAATTCATACTAACATGTGTCAGTGCAATTGCAACACGTCTTCCAGCACTTCTCCGCCCTCCCTGCGGACTTCCCGTCGGTCCTTCTGCAGGCCTCTCTGACTACCTTTGAACGACTCATTGTACGGATTGAGGCAGTCTTCAACGAAGACGGCGATAGTCAAGACAGCATGGTGGGCATGGAGTCGGAAGAAGCCATTCTAGTAAGTCGTACCGCCCATCGTTTCTCTTCGGGTCTGACAATTTCCCAGATGCTTGAGCGAGAGCTGGCCGCTGGGTTCTTCTCCATGTCACGTTGCATTTTGGCCTACCAGGCCAACAGAGGCAAAACCTTGGTTAAGTCTGTCTCAGGTGCCTGCGTTGAGCAATGCGTCGTTTTATCTGGCATGGTGTCTAGCCTGTTCGTCCGCTGTCGAATGATGGTAAGTTTGAGATTCTCTTTCACAGAATAATGGACTGACCTCCAAAGCAATATTCTCAAATCTTCAAGCGCAATCATAGATTTGGTCTCTTTGACAATATGCCTCATAAGCTCAGCTTGGAACAACGGCCATTACTTCCGCTCTTTCTCTCGACCGTCATGCAGAGGCCGGGGGATGTGAAGCTAGACGTAAGTCACAAAGTTTCGCTGGACATGACCATTGCTGATTTGAAATAGGACATGGGTATCGATCTCCTCCATCTGTGGTTGCTGATTATTGTTCAACCAAACCACTGCTTAAGATTTGAAAATCAGCTTGGCCAGCAAATGCAACGCCAGGGATTTCCCTATGTCCCTAACAGGACACTAGGGTTTGTTGCCAATCCAGGTTACATGTCTAATCGCGACTTCTTCGAGTGTAAGTGCCCCTAGCCGAAATTGAGGGCCGGCCGACTAATTCTTGCAGACGCGATGAAATGGATGCGGCAGTCCCTGCATACAATGAATGCTGCCGAAAAGAAGAAAGAACTATCCAACTTCTCAAAGGCGTTGGACAATGCCATGCAGCAAATGCGAACCGATCTTCAAGTCACGGCCAACGACTCAACAAACGATTCGACAGAGCATTCAACCTATGTCAGATTTGTTCGCAACATCATATCCCTCATCACAACTTACGGCACGGACATCTGCAAAGTGCCCCCTTTCTTCAGGGAGGTGAGCAAGGCGTACTCTCCCCCTGCTGAGGATCCTGAGCTGCAAGTGGCCAAAATCCTGTCTTATGGGCTGAAGCTGGCGGAGGGCAACACTGGAATCGCCAGCAGCCTGTTTTATCTCTTGCTCAATAACTTCAAGAAAGCCCTCCAGCTGGGTAGATTGCCACAACAAGTGCTGCTGCTGAAGACGGCTATGCAGAGCGACGCCGTAGTAGCCTTCACCCTCAGAATGCTTTCTGCAGTTCTGCACGCTACGAAGTCTAGCCCTGAAGCTTACGCTCTGCTGGATGTATTCTGCGACGCTCTAGAGCTGGAGTGGAATGGTTCAGTCGTTGCCCGCCAACTAAACGATGATGTGCTGACCGCCATGTCTACTCTGATCACATCTACGCTTGACTGGGCGACTGGTTTGAGAGGCACCCCTGTCAGCGCAGAGCACATTCACGCGCTGAGGAAAATCGTTTGGCTCGTCAACACCCTTCAGCCAACATTCGAGTCCTACTCCTTGAAGCAAGGTGAGGTGAAGTGGTGGGATGAAGTCATGGAAAGACTTGATTGGTTCAGCGTCCTCGTCAACGGAGCCGAAGAATATCTGGATACTCAACTTGAGAGATCACAGGTTCCGCCTCTATCTCCCTCAGGCCTCTTCCGGCGCCTGAGAGAGGCTAAGAACTTCAAGATTCAAGATGCCATGGTTCTTGAGTGGTCTCGAGTCATTGTAGATGACGTACAGAGGAACTGGGTGGTCAAGGGCCCGGTGTGGACGGTTCCAGGAAGTACCTGCGACAACAGTTCGACGCAACCTGCACGTGGCACGATCAAACTTGACTGGGACAATCAGGAGCTTGTCATCACCTTGCATGACCAACTTCGCATATGGAGCCAATGGTGGACTAGTGGAAAGAAAGAGCCCGGAGCCCAAGGAGGATTTGATTTTGAAGATTTCGCGTTATTCTGAATATCCTATGAATAGCGTTACGAGTGTATGACATATGGTTGGCAGCAAAGGGCATGGGTGCGAAGATGAGGCGTAGGAGCGTCAACGACAATACAAATAAAAACATGCACAGATGTAAAATCCTCGCACTGTTTCTAGTGCACCTGTGATATGACGTCCATTTTGACTGGGTCATGGGCCCCATTTCTCGATCGAATCACAAGCCCATTCGGTGTGGTCCTCGGTGAGGCTCGGTGAAGAGTCTGCCGAGATTCCGCCGCCCTCACTAAGCACAGCGCCGGCTCAAAGAGCTTGTCGACAAGAAGTGCTTTCGCCTTACAACGACACCGCCAATTACTGGCATATCGCCCTTGTTTCTTCCGAATGCATGCAATAGGGCCACGGGCCCTTGCCTCAGCCTCTCGAGTCTCTGCGTCGTCGAGGTTAGCAGCGTTCTCGGCCCGCCGCCAGTGTCGACACTTCCACCCGTCCTTCAGGTTGCGGAAAGGCCCGTCCGAAGGCGGCGCAGACGACGGAAAGCCACCAGAAAAACCCGCCAGCGAGCAGGATGACGGTAACAGCAGAGATCAGGACGGTGTGAAAACCGAACAGCCCACAAACGAGTCGGCTTTCCGCAGATCGAGAGGCGGCGCGTTTGCGTCTGCCCGGGCGCGCCTTTCGAGGCCGAGAGCGGCGGACGAGCTTCCGCCTGTGAAGCTGCCGCAGAGTTTCCTCGACAGCAACGTATCGCTCTACGACCCCGAAAACCGAATCAATACCCTCACTAACGATCTTTGGCACCACCGGTACATGGGCGCCCGCTGGCACGACCTGCTATGGAAGGACTTGGATCTAGTGTTTAGCCAGGCTTCATGGAGCGAATCGAGGCTGCAGGATGCGTTGCGCAACTTGCGCGAGGGCAATACCGAGGCTGTTGAGAGGCGGAACAGGATACTAGCTGAAGCATCGCAGTGGTTGAGCCTTTCTATTGACGAGATGCGGTCTTCAAACAACTTGCAAAGCTCCCGAGAGCCGCTTCCCACGACAGACTTCGCCGATATGCTTCGCTACTCTAACAAGTTTGTTTTGTCGAACCTTCTGTCGCAACACACGAGAGACACAATAAACAGCGACCCCATACAGGAGCAGGTAGCGGATCAAGATGCTGTACTCCAGACGCTTGTCGAGCAGTATATCGAGGAAGGACGGCCGCTGCCAAAACGTGACGGTCTGCGATTATTTGATCCTAGGATTCGGGGTGAGATCGTCACGGCGGTGCGCGCCGAGCTTGCGCTCCAACCAACAACGGACATGCTGGGCAGGGAACTCAAGAGGCCTCTTACGGTCGTTCACATCCCGAATTACACTGGCCGGAGCCATACGAGGAAACTCATGAAGCACATTGCTTCGTGCGTGGAGGCGGACATCATCCATCTTGATGCGCAGGAGCTGGGCATGCTCGTGGGTGACTATATCGGCCAGGACTGCGCATATTCCAGAGGCCCCATCTCCATGATGGGATACCGTGCGGCAGAGATGAACGGCCGCTTGGCGAAGTCGGAGGAGCCTGCCAAGCCGAGCGATGAAGACGTGGCTGGAGAAATTGAGGCTGCGTGGGTTCATATCAACCAACAAGAAGGAGGAAACGGCTTCAACAACCCCATGGAGGATGAGCTTCAGAAGATCAAGGATGGCGCAAAGGATTACATGCTTCCCTCCGTCGACCGCTGGGAGAACCTCAAGATCAATGCCGCCCTTGAGGAGATCGCCAACGCGACGACAAAGACGTCTTCGCAACCGGATCGCAACCTCATCATCCATGTTGATGACTTTGTTGAGCTCAATATGACTCTTGAGGGGGCTCTCATCCTCGGCAGACTGCGTTCCATCGTTGACACAATGTGGCGGTCTGGCCGCAGAGTGACGCTCGTCGGCACCTCCTCCAACGAGAACCCATCGGAGCAGTACGCCACAACACTGAAGGATATTGCTGCCGAGGAATGCCTCGTTCCGCTCCCCCTGAACTTTCAGCGCATCACCAACGCAAGCAACACGAAGAAGATCTACGAGGCAAACGACTACCTCCAAGAAAACCTGCGCAACATCCAACACATGCTTCGCACCATCGCCGGGTCCTCCCCGGACACTTCCAAACTCCGCATCGTCGGCGTTTCCAAGTCGCACCCACCACAATTCCTTCTTGACGACGCAGAAGGCTCTTATATGGAAGTCTCTCTCATCCCCCGCGTCCTCGCCACCTCCGTGCTCCCCCTTCCGGACGTCTACCACATCACCCGCCTCTTCTACGCCTGCCAGGGCTCCGTCTCCCCAGACCAGTCCTGGCGCGTTCTTTTCGATGTCGTGGAGTCGAGCTCCTACAGCACCGCCCAACTGCACCGCATCCAGGACAAACCAACCCGCTCAAAACCCTCCTCTCCCTCTTCATCGTCAGCCGATTCCACTCGCGCCGAGCCCGAACGTCTTCGTGTATCCGGCAGCTACAACGACTACGAGAAGAAGCTCCTGGCAGGCCTAGTCAACTCCAATGAGATCAAGACGACATTTGATGACGTCCACGCCGACCCGGAGACCAAGTCCGCCCTCAAGCTCCTCACATCCCTCTCCCTGATCAGGCCTGAAGCCTTCACCTATGGCGTTCTCGCCACCGACAGGATCCCAGGTTGCCTTCTCTATGGACCCCCCGGTACCGGTAAAACTCTCCTAGCAAAGGCTGTCGCCAAGGAGTCTGGCGCAAACATGCTCGAAGTCTCGGGCGCAAGCATCAACGACATGTATGTCGGCCAGTCCGAGAAAAACGTCCGCGCCCTCTTCTCCCTGGCCAAGAAGCTTTCGCCGCTGGTCATCTTCATCGACGAGGCCGACGCCCTGCTCGCAGCCCGCGGCCAACGCAACCGCGCCGCCCATCGCGAGACCATCAACCAGTTCCTCCGGGAGTGGGACGGCATGAACGACACAAAGGCCTTCATCATGGTCGCCACGAACCGCCCCTTCGACCTCGACGACGCCGTCCTCCGCCGCCTGCCCCGCAAGATCCTCGTCGACCTCCCCCTCAAGCAGGACCGCGCCTCGATCCTGCGCATCCTGCTCAAGGGCGAGGACCTCGACGACTCCGTGTCCATCGACGACGTCGCGCGTCAGACGGTCCTCTATTCCGGCTCCGACCTCAAGAACCTCTGCGTCGCCGCCGCCATGACCGCCGTGCAGGAGGAGTCCGAGGAGGCCGCCAAGCACACCGGCCCGGAGCCCTACGTCTTCCCCCCCAAGCGCACGCTGAGGAAACATCACTTTGACAAGGCGCTCAAGATGATTGCCGCCAGCGTCAGCGAGGACATGGACAGTCTCAAGAGCATACGGCGCTTCGACGAAAAGTACGGCGACGTGCGGTCCAAGAACAGCCAGAAGCGTAAGGGTATGGGCTTCGGCGTCATCCCGACGCCGAGCGATGCGGAGGAGGCTAGGGTACGGCAAGCTGTTGCAGTGTAAAAGCACCAACTCATTCTTAAAAAATTCAGACTCAATCCTTTTTTTTTTCTTACTTCCATCTTTCTTTTTGTGTGTTTTCTCGTTTTAAGAGGCCAAATTTTTGCTAGTAGACCAGAGAGCTGTCATTTCATATTCTCCCTGGGCCTGTATGATTTCCATAAAAACCCCGCGATAGGTCCCGTCGCGTAAAAGGTCTATACGACTATAGAGAAGCTTGAGAGTGGACGGATAAGAGTGTATCAACATTGAGATATCTGTCTAGATAGTTGGCTGCATCAGATAGTTTGCAGAAGTGATGATAGCCATGTAGCTGCATGATACTGGCGAAATCAAAAAGGGGCTTTTTGCTGTAAAGATCTATAGTACTACTACATTCGCGCCATGTCTCTCATGACGTATTCAACTCAATAGCAATTTAATAATTTGGGCAGGGTCATGTAACTCAGGCCTCCGTAGAGAGCTGCACGCCTTCGGCCGCGAGAGCCCGCTGATAATCTGCCTGGGCCTTCTTCAACGCCTCCAGCGTGGGCTGCATCACCGCCAGCACGGCCTTGCGTCCGCCCTTCTCGTGTTCCGGCCGCCACCCGCGAATCTTCTTGCCGGTTGCCTTGTAGTGGTCTATAATCTCCTTCTTCTTCGCCGCGATGATGTCGTCGCGGGCCTTCTCGGCCTCGTCGGCGACCGCATGGATACGCTCGGCGGAGCGCTTGAGAGACTCGACGAGATACTGCAGCTCATTGGCGCGGTCCGGGTCGCCGGACAGGAACGCGTTCCAGAACTGGTGGAGGAACTCGACGGTCGTCGCGTGCGTCAGCTGGCAGCGCTCCGCAATCTCGGCGGGGAGGCCCATGGGCCTGGTCGCGTCAGCCGAGGCGTCGCCGTACTTTTCCGCGCGCCGCTGGCGGATGCCCGCCATGATGTCTTCGCCGGCCGCCTTACGTGCCGCGCGGGAGCCGACGTGCGGACGCCGCTGGGTCTCTTCGTCGCTGTCGCTGTCGTCGATGATGCCGATGCCGGCGCGGAGGTTAAGGCCGTCGGCGTCGTCCGTCTCGATCATCTCGAGGTCCGACTGGATCTCGAAGATGACGTCGGCGGGGTTCTGCTTGGCAAAGGCGAGGTTGTTTGCTGATTGTGTCTCTTGCTTTTTGGAGAAGAAGCGGTTCTGTTCCTTGACGTTGAGGATGATTTTGTTTTCCTTTGCGTCGCCTTGCAGGTCGCGAAGGGCGAGCTCTTGGAAGGTAGAGTCTTCTGGATCGTCGCCGTTCTCCCTGTCGATTGTGGGGGCGACGTTGGCCAACATTCTCTCGCTGAGAGAGTTGAGGGTGTTGACGATGGGCACGTTTTTGCGGGGACGCATCTCGACGTCCTTTTGGTTTCCGCTGCGGAAGCCGCCCTGGTTCTCCTCGTTGCCGTAGACGTTGATGATGTGCGGCACGCTCTGGGCCATGCTTTTGCGCTGGAACGTGGCCGTGTTCTCGCTCGCATCGTGGGCGTCAAAGAGCGCGTCGCGGCGGATG